CCTACATATTTTCAGAATAATCGCAAAAAAACGATTTAAAATTTTAACTTTCAACACCCTGTATTTCCGAAACTATCAACTTTCGGATAAGGCATGTTTGCGCCAATGGTCACCATTTCACGTGTAGTATATTCAGCTTTCAACTTTCCCATTGTTAAGAATCACCCTGTATAGTAAGAAAAGCACTAACTCCAGTTTTTGTGAAAAATGGTATTTTAATGCCATCTTGCAGCTAATAATTAAACCCGTGTCTTAGAAAAGTATGTAACTCGGCATATTAATTTACGCGAGTAATACTTTGACAAATGCAAATCACGTGTAAGTATATTCCCTTCTAGAAGAATAGAAAAACCGCGTAACTCCCAGTATTTATATGTTATCCAGAGATGTATGTTGTGTTTGATAAGACTATTTCTATTATAATAGATAAGTAGATACTTATATTTGTTCGAAATGTTTGTGTTAACATTTGAATCTGTTTTCTTAAGTTTAGTATGTGCAAATTATGGGTTTAACATTTATTTCAATAGTAAATTCATAACAATTTGGAGATAAGCGTTTTTCAAACTTAGATTTTTATGTTTATATTAAATATATGCCAATTTCTACTAATAATCTGCCGGTTTTTCTGAACAAGTTATAAGTTTTTTAGTAATTATTTGTGCTTAATGGGAACAACGCGCGACGTTCACAATTATCCATACAAAAATTTAAAAAAAATAATTTTTATACCTCACCAAGTATTTTTCATATGAACCACCTAACTCCATAATATCTTCTTCATACGAAAATCGCGCAACTCCAATTAAAAGTCCCAAATATATAAAAAAAATATATTTAAAATTTAGAATTGTATTCTCGGCATTATATTTCAACATAATAATATTACGCGCTTTTCTTACTAAGCCGATATGTGTGTATATGTACATACTTTTTTTCATTTTTTTCTTTCTCTTGTTGAATTAATCGATTATATTTAAATATTAAACTTAGTTATATTTTGAAATGAAAATTTTGAATCTAAATATTCAGTCTCTGGTACCTAAAATTACACAAGGGACTTTGTCCAAAATTACGCATATGATATAGTAGTCATAACTCAATCCTGGTTAACTCCTACTGTGTAATACCTGTATGATAAAATAGTACTTAGGCACAATGTACATATTTGAGACACTAGATCTAATATGAAGCTTCATCCCCCTAAACACACAACATCTATGTTTAAAAGATCTTTTAGTTATTGTATCTACAATATTTATAATTTAATTCCAGACAATACGAAAAATATGGAGAAACGACCTTTTAAGAAGCTTCTAAAAAAAATTAATATTGTCAGGTGAATTTAAAAGTACTAACTTCTAAATAGGCTGATCTACTATATTTAATCTATTTAATTTAATCTATTATTAGTAAATATTGTTTAGTAAGTAAATAAATTTAACCCTCGAGGGAGAGGGTACCAATGGTAAGTGTAAGAATGGAAGCTTGCATTCTTAATGTAGGTGACCAAATTTCGCAATTAAATTCATCCAAGTATTAAATTTTATAATTGTTAGAATTGGACTGATGTGTTGTACTGTATTAATAAAGACGTTTATTATTATTATTTGACAAATCATTAGGGCAATAATCTCTAATTATTGATTACACATATAGGGTGTCCAGAAATAAGTACCAAAATTCTAACCATATATTTAACTCATCAAAAGCAACTTATATTTGGTACACCCTAGCCTTACAGTACATATGTTTCTCATTTGGATTATTAATAAAAAAGCAATACATATCAGGTATGTGTTCAAGAAAGTCACATTTTAATAATTCAACCAATAATTTAGAAAAAACTTACATTTCTTCCTCAAATAAATATTCATCATCTGCAATATCAGCTTCTAATTCAGCAAGTTTATCATCTTTTCGTTTCTCTAAATATTTACGTCTAGATTGAATTCTAAGTTTAGGAATAATTTTTTCTCTGTCAGCATTTTCCAGTTTAAGTCTTTTTGCAGCTTCTTCATAAGCACGCCTATCAGATGCTTGAACAATATTTCTAGTTCTTTCCTCATCTCGTTTCTTCAGACGATTAGCAAATTCGTCTCTTTCCCTGAGGTCTTTTTGTCTGGCTTCTTCAGCACTATCTATACTAGCTGAATCTGATTCAGATTCATAGATTTTACGAGATTTCTTAGATCTACTCATCATTACAAAAGTAATTAGACACTAGGATATCTATATTTTACTGTACTACTAATCTAATACTTTAATTTTAAATGTCTGCTATTTACAGGGATATACATATTTATATAATTGAATTATGTATAATTTATTTAAATA